TTCAGCAAATATGACAAAAAAAATTTTTTATGTAAAAGTTACCTGCTGCAGCTTTAAAGTACTGTGCACAACAACAATATCAGCATCTATGAACTCTCACACATAAGAGAATGCAGCCATAATTCAAGTAATTAGTCTGTTAAAGGAAAAGAACTGAATAAATGAGAGAAGAAACAAATGTAGGTGCTTGCATACAGTCGTAGTGAATGATACAATTAAGTAATCTTATCTTTAAAAATGCTGAACATGTCCAACATACTATAAGATCAATGAGTAGCTGAGAACATCTTTTGGAAGAGTGGTGTTCATCACTCCACTAGAGTTCAGTAGCGTACAGTATAAAAAAGAGCACTAAAGCTGTTCTGGAAGCTTATTGTAGACCAATACCTTATTAATACATATGTTTTATCCTTCAGTTTGTCATCCATCTGTAGGTATTTGAGGTTTTAACACAAGAAAGACAAGGACAAGTTGACCTGAGCTTTCATTATACAATAATAGTTATGCATATTGACAAGTTAGGTAGATATAAAGATTTGTATATTATGTTATAGCAAATAGGGTCAGTGTTGCCTGCTTTTCTTTTTTCAAACACAAGATGGGAGTGTTGCTTTGTATTTGAGATGTCACCACACATTCGCAGGACTTTGGTGGAGGGAATCTAAAATGCTAGTTTTTTTGCTAAATGATCAGCTAATTTCATTTTGATCACATTTCCCCATTCACCATTTAAAGCTATCACAATGAAGCCAAATCATAGGATAAGTTTGATCTGAACTATTACTGTATTCCATCATGGATATACAATCCCTTTTATTTTCTGATTTCATTTCATTTTGCACTCTGCAAACACACTTGGCCTGTATAGAGACCTTTAGCCTTTATTATTAAAGGGTGAATGCCTCCATGATATTTACATCCCCTATACCAGAAGCATTAATGAAGGTCATCCATGTCTGGCTCTACTTCATCTGTGACTCTTTTTTTCGGCATCAGTTGGGTAGCTCAACAACCAAAGCCTTTGTGAAATGTTAATGGCATAGGACTTTTTTACAGAAGACATGACACAGTAGGAACAGTGCAGGTGTAAAAAATAAAAAATGAATGCTGTCTGAATAAATTCCATTTAGCTGCTTCAGTTTCAGGGTCATGGTGTTGTGTGAGGCAAGTCAAAAATGTCTGTGAAAATGGCCTATGGTGAGAAAATCTTTCCCTTAAATATAAATATAAAGGTACTTCACCTTTTAAATGTTTTTTATTACGGTTTAATTTATAGATAACTGGATTATTATCATATAGCTGACAGGAGCGTCAATAAAGTGGATTTTGATAAAGTACATTCTGTTGATAATACAAACAACAGTGTTTCCCATTGTGGTGTTGCCATTTTTACCTAAATGAAGGATCTCAATACTTTTTTTTTATGACTGTCATATAAATATCTGATAAATAAGCACGAGACGCTGTAATTATGTACACAAGTGACAATTAGAGAGGTCGAGTGTCATCGCGAGATCTGAGCGCGGGATTTCCCTCGGCGGTAGGTGGAGACTGGACACAGCAGAGTGGAGTCGGTATCCAGGCAGCTGCTCTCCCGCTGTCTCTCTGACAGCTAGGCTAGCTCGTAAACAACAGCAAAAAGCCCCGGCGGTGTGTCGGAGAATGTAATGACTGAACTAGCCGTTGTTTTCACCGACAGTCCCGGTATCCACCGGCATTCCTATCTCCCTTTCCACTACATGTCTTGTGTTCCTGTTCAGGACCGTCTCTGCAATGTACTGAGGCACCGATGCTGCCCAAATGAGCTAACCTCTCAACTGTCTCCAAAGACAAAAGCAACATTTTCACTGAGACCTGAGGTAAGAATTATCGGACATTTAATGGCTGTTAGCTGTTTATCTCAAAGGGCTTGTGTCGTGTCATTCCCTGAGCCCGGCTGTCACAGGGCTTTTGCCTTTGCAGGTGTTGGTGGATCTGGGAGAGGAGTGTGTCCGGCTGCTACCTCGTAAGAAATACGCTTCCAGCTGACATACACTTATAGTTCTAGATGTGCCTGTAGATGTGTGTATAAACACACCAAACCCAGTTCAAGAAATGTTTTATCCAATTCATATATATGCCAATTGACTTCTTAAGTGCTATTCATATTGTACACCTGTAAAAGTATCATTTAAAATAGACTTCAAATGAATTTAAGATGAAACAAATGCAACAGTGCAGCTAGAAAGAACATATATTTCTTGTTTCAGAATTGTATAAATGGAAATGAACACATTACTTTCAACATTTTAAATATACTTTAACATGAGATTTTCAAATCTATTCATGCACTGTGTTTTTGCCCTACAGGTGTAGGCAGTGATGAGGTGGTTATTCAGTGGCAGAGTTAAAGCTGATCTCTAGTCAGTGATCATTGGACCGAAAATAGAAGTAAGTCATAAGACTTCATTGGCAATATCCCGATGAATTTTAGTAATGTGTGCACATCCCTGTATTGTATTTTAATGTATTTACGTCGTTCAATTAAGCATTTAGTGAAGAGGTTTTCAAACTGGGGTCCGGGGACCAACAGGGGTCCTTGAGTGGGTTGTAGGGGTAGAACAAGGAGGAATAGAACATTTCAAGTTTAATCTTTTTTGGAAAGTTAGAACAACCCAAGGAAGGAGATAGGGTTGGTCGTTATACTTGATTGTATTTTCGAATTATCCCAGTTTGATCCTCTCTAATTGGGTTTGGGTTTGTGGTCTAATGTGCATCCATTGGGGGGTCCTTGACATCACAAGTTCCGTGGACTCCTGATTTAAGGCAAACTTCAATATCAGCATTGTTCTTCTTTGATAAAAGAAATGATTCATCATTCATCTCTTTGTTGTAATCATTTGATAATAGTAGCTTCTATCTATGTGTTTGCTTTAAACCACATCCTTAAATATAAAGACGAGTTTTAGTGGACATTCCTTGCTCACTGAGTCACAGTTTGCGTACCCAGCTCCCCCGTGTGGATCAGTAGCATGTAATAAGTAAGATTTAGGGTACAAATCTAAGACTAATTGCTATAATTACAGACCGCTTTGCTTCAGTATGCTGCATTGTAACTGAACAGTTTGAGCAAATGAAAACAGGCCTTGTCTGTTCCACAACACTGACACCAGTGCTGTGAAAAT